CTTGCTTTATTATGACTTATTAATCTGGTAGGTGTGGATCTGCCATTGTGAATGAAAATTATTGAAAGTTTTGCCTTATTGCCAACTCCCATTGTTTCTGTAAATAGTGTCTAGTCATTTAAAAGTTTAATCTGCACAAGTCAACAATTTATGTAATACAGTTTGAAATCAGAATATACTTGTATAATATCCTATTCTCAACAGTGTCTTAAACTCTATACCATTGGTTAAAATAATGATACTATCAATAGAATTACCTTATACCCTATGGGGATGAATAATAATATTCTCTAACATGATAATGATATCTCTAAAGCGAACCAGATACATATTTAAACCATAGATATGTGAATGGATTTGGAGCTCAAACTTAATTCTAGGCCCAATCTAAGAATAATTAGTTCTTATGACATGGCCTTGTTTGATGCACGCCCTCATGAAGAGATCATTCAAGATATAGGTGCTATAGCAAAGTGTGGAAAAGCAGCTAGATGGTGCCTGGCTATCAGAAAGAATAGTGTCTGGGGTTTTAAAGCCTAGTCTTTAAACAAACAGCCATCTAAGTAAGGTGTCAGCTAAGTCCATATGGAAGAAGCACATCAGACTGTGTGACTCAAGGATTGTAAACAATTAATCTGAAAAAAAAAAAAAAAAGGAATAGTCTTGGGGTTTAAATTGGGAACCTCCAGGTTGCAGAAGGCTATGGATGACAGCCCCAAATCCATTTGCAAGATACCTACATGGATTAGACCTCCAATGAATCCTATCTGTTCATAGACTGGGGATGTGGGTAGTCTTGTTATCAGACAGAGAGCATTATAAAGTTGATTATGGCAGATGTAGCTAGGTTAAAATGTAATATCCTATCATTTGATCTTCATTTTCACCCACTTTAAAGTGTTTTTCAGTTAAAAAAAAGTGAAGGGAAATCCACGTGAATTAAGAATCTGGTGAATCCTCACTAATAATAGACTAGGAATGTGAGTAACCTTGGTATCCTGCATTTGGAAAGTGGATTACTGCAGATGCCGTTAGATTAAAATCTAAGACTTTATCTCCTTTTGACCCCTTTAAAATTTGTTTTAGTTTTTAACATTTCTACTTTTCAATTGAGGTTTATCTGTTTTACTTTGTTATTGTTGTTAGCCTGTGTGTGTGTGTCTATATATGAAATCTAGAGTTGGTTAATCTATACAGACAGTAACTGGATTAATGGTTTCTGGTGGGTATGGTAGGGGATGTTGGGAAGAAATGGAAATGTTATTTATATAAACCACAATGAGTATAAGAAAGAAGACAATGTTCTAAATCTGGTTGTGATGATTATACAACTCTTCTTAATATGATCGAACAATTGAATTGTATGAGATTAAATGATATGCCAGTAAAACTGTTAACAAACTGATTCCCATAATTCTGGCCTGAGTAAATAAAGACCAAAGGAGATCTTAAGCTTTCATTACTCTCTCTTATTGTAAAATGGTCCAAGCCCTGTTACAAAGTAGTTGACCAAATCGGTGTGATCCCAGATAAGAGAGTCAGTGACATAAGCCAAAGCCAAGAATTTGCTGGCTGAAGGGAGATTATCTAATAGTTTCAAGACCATATTATATTAGAAATAGAATAATTCAGCTTCCACCCTTGATAGTGATCTGTAGTCCAATTCTACAAGGTAGCAGAGATCCTATGATCTGTGTCATGGGAAGATGAAAGAGTATCCTTTTCTATGTCCCCAAGCTCAGACTGCTGAGGTTGGATAAATTACAAGGAACATGGCTCTCAGAAGAGGTGGAATGCAGGGATATATAAGGATATATGAGTGATTTCAGAACTTTTTTTGGACATATCCTCAGGTGATCAGGAACAATTGAGCCATGGCGACCTGGCTGAACCAATCATCTACAGACGACTTTATTCTCTTGGGCATCTTTTCCTACTGTGCAACTGATCTTGTTCTTTTCTCTGTGGTCATGATTGTCTTCACAGTGGCCCTCTGTGGGAATATACTTCTCATCTCCCTCATCTACATTGACTCCCGGCTTCATACCCCCATGTACTTCTTCCTCAGTCAGCTCTCCCTCATGGACCTCATGTTGATATGCAACGTTGTGCCGAAGATGGCAGTGAACTTCCTAACTGGAAGAAAGTCCATCTCCTTTGTGGGTTGTGGTATACAAATTGTTTTTTTTGTCTCTCTTGTGGGCTCTGAGGGACTCTTGCTGGGACTCATGGCTTATGACCGCTATGTGGCTATTAGCCACCCACTCCGCTATCCGATTCTCATGAGTCAGAGGGTCTGTCTTCAGATTGCTGGAGGATCCTGGGCCTTTGGCACACTAGATGGATTGATCCAGATGGTGGCAGCCATGGCGTTTCCTTACTGTGGCTCCAGGAATGTGGACCATTTTTTTTGTGAAGTGCCAGCTCTCTTGAAGCTGGCCTGTGCAGACACAGCTCTGTTTGAGAACCTGCTCTTCGCTTGCTGTGTCTTTATGCTTCTTCTCCCCTTCTCCATCATCGTGGCCTCCTATGCTCGGATTCTGACTGCTGTGCTCCGCATGCGCTCTGCTCAGGCTCGTAAAAAGGCTCTGACCACCTGTTCCTCCCACCTGACTGCTGTCTCTCTCTTCTATGGGGCAGCCATGTTCATCTACCTGAGGCCTAAGCGCTACCGAACCCCTAGCCATGACAAGGTGGTCTCTGTCTTCTACACAGTTCTTACTCCTATGCTCAACCCCCTCATTTATAGTTTGAGGAACCGGGAGGTCATGGGAGCACTGAGAAAAGGGCTGGGCCATTGTAGGATTGGCAGCCAGCACTGAAGGTAAGGCTAGATGTTTGACTTTGTGCTTTCTTGGCTGTGTAACAGTGGTATATCACTCACCCTTTGTGAAAGTATGTTTCCTCATCAGGAAGTGAGCATCGTGACACTTGTCCTAGCTCATAAGGATGTTGTAGAGGTTGGCCAGATGTAAATCTGAAGTCTCATGCAGAAAGAATCTATTGTTGTTATTATTAACTACTTATAAAGCCCTTACATTAAATTTATTCTTAATTCTTCTTTATAATAGCTGTCTTCTACTGAGTTCTTCCTAAGTGTTGGACACTATCACATTAATTTTACACATATTCTATATTATTTAATGGATGATTCAGGGTAATAAATATGAGAAATTAAATGGAAATGTTTCAGAACTTGGTTTTCTAGAATTATTTTTGGATAGTTCCTAGCCTTCTCCTATGTGTCATTAGAAGATGCCTCCTTTAAGAAATAAAAAAAAAAATCTCTATTGTTTAGAAGTTCTCCTTATAGGGGTAATGCCTTATGTATTTGTGTATTAATAGTGCATAGTACTGGTCCTATAAAACTCTTGTTGTTACTCAATAAAACCTTTCTGAATAGAAGAAAAAGGAAAGTATTAAAAGAGTTAATTTATTTTATAAAATATTATTCACATACTAATTTTGCTGGGGAAGCTGTGGTTAGTTTCAATGATCCAAGCTCTAAAATAGTGAATTATATTTTGGGGGAATAAAGATTGGAACAGAAATGAACACAATATTTGAGCCATTATTTTAAGACATATCAGAATGGAGAACTATAGCAGCTATTTTATTTTAAAGTTTCCTTCCCCAATATTTTTATTGGCGTATAATTCCCGTTTCATATAATTCAATAGTTCAGTCACACCAGCAGTACAATCATCACCACAGCTTTAGAACTTTTCTTCAATCTTGTAGTCATGTTATTGCTCCCCATTTCTCCCCAACCTCCTCTGCCATACCCAGAAGGAACCATTAATCCAGTTATTGTCTCTATAGATCTACTATCCTGTATTTCATATATAGAAAAACATTAAAATACAACAAAATTAACCAGAATACCAAACTAAAACAGAAAATTCTCAATAGAAAATAAACTAGAACAGTAGCAACAAAAACATAAAATAAACTAGAACATTTAAAGGCATATAAGGGATATTAAATGATAAGGCACTAAATTTTAATCTAACTGCATTTGCAACAATTCATTTTCCAATGCGCTCTGCATGGTAGCATGGCTATTCACATGCCTCGGCGTGGTCAGAGGGGACTCCCCAGGGGATTGATCATGTGTTTCCCTTTCACTTAAAAAACAAAACAAAACTGAATCAGCTTTAAATTGCATCTACAGAGATTAAATAAGATATTACTTTTTGATTGGACTGCATCTGCCACAATCGAATTTACAATGCTCTGTCTGATAACAGGGCTATATAAATCCTTCAACTATGATTGGAGGGGATTTGCTGGATGCTTAATTTAAGTATGGACCCTGCAAATAGATTTTGGGCTTTTATCACTATCCACCACCTTATGCAAACTGGGTGTTCACAATTTTAGCTCTGATACCATTCCTTCTTTAGATTTGGATTGTGTTACTTACAATCCTTGGATCATAAAGGCGAGTGTTCTTATCCTATGAAGATTTTGTTGACACCTCACTTAGATGGCTGCTTATTTGAAAATAAGTCTTTAAGACCAAAGATGACATTCTTTCTGATAGCCAGGAATCATCTAGTTTCTTCACTACACTTTCCTAAAGCACCTACATCTTCAGTGACCTCTTCATGAGAGCGAGCATCAAGCAGGGCCATGTCATAAGAACTAATTGTTCTTAGCTTGTGGTTAGAGTTAGTGCAAGCCCAAAAACTATTCATGCATCTCTGGTTTTTATATGTATTTGGTTCACTTTAGAGAAATCATTGTCATTTTACGTTAGAGAACATTATCAATGAACTCCCTGGGGCATCACTTCCACTGCCATCAAGTCATTGCTACTTATAGGCACCCTATAGGGCCAGGGTGGAACTGCCCCTGTGAGTCTCCAAGCCTGCAAATCTTCACAGGCATAGAACACCTCATACTTCCCCTGTGGAGCTGGCTGGTGATTTCAAACTGCCAACCTTGTAGCCCAGTGTGTAAGCACTAGGCATTGATAGCATCATTAATTTAATCAATTGTATAGGACGTAAAACTCTTTTGAGAAAAGAAAATTATACAGGTATGGGCCAACTATGAACCCTGAACATGACTTTTTGACTTGTACAGATTAGATTCTTAAGGGACTGGACATTATTTATCCAATGGGGGTTGGTGCTAGGGCAGATCTTCAATAATATTCATTCGCAGCCGCAGAGTCATGCCTACCACATTGATATATGCTACAAAGAAGCAAGTAGAGCATTAAACTAGTAAGTCTATGATCGTTCAAGGCCACCATTCACTGGGCACCCTTATGGCAAGAGATTTGAACCAAAGACCAATGTCTGCAGTTCTAGTCGTCATCCTACAGCAGTCGTCATCCTACAGAAATCATTTCAATTGACCAAATTTAATACCAAAAAATCTCGAATCAGATTTTGGAGAACTGAAATGGCAAGACAAGAAAATTCATAAAAGCAAAAAGAAATACAGTAAGAAACTATTATCTCTAGGCTGGGAGACTTAAGGGAGAGGACCAGGGTTGTTAAAACCTGAAATCTTGAAGTCAAAATGTATGAATAGTGGGCAAAGGTCAGTTGGTATTTATACCTCAGAAGCTTTCCATTGGAGGTGACACCCAGGCATCTGCTTGATGTGATTGGATTATGGAATGTTATGATATCTGGAAGAGCTCCCAATAAAATAACAAATAAGCAATCTAAAAATTATAGTATAGAAACCCATGGGAGCAGTTCTCCTCTGTCCTGTAGGGTCACAATAACGTGGAATCGCTCAATGGCAATGGTTTCCTTGCTTTGAAACTTGAAGACAAAACATCTCCAACACCACAAATC